ACACACACACACACACACACACACACACACACACACACACACACACAGAAGCTATTAACCCTTTGAGAGATTTCAGACCGGCCTCCAACTTCCCCATCCTCCTGTATCACATCCTGAGTGCTGGAACCACATGTGGGAGCTGAGAAATATTATGCCTTCATTTCTTCCCCATAATAACCAAGGTTTATGATGAATTTTCAGCTTACTGCTTCATGTGAACACCGGCTTTCGGCCCCTTACTGCGCTATCAGCTGTGGAAGCCAGACTCTGTACTGAACAGTGGCACTGTCTCGAGACCTCAGTGAGCCCCCACCATCCTCCTCCCAAGCAGCCGAGTCCCCCACCAGGCTAAGGAGAAACACCTCCCCGCTGTGTTTTCTCAACTGTACAGCCATGAAAATGAGCTGAATTCTCAAAGGGTCAATAGGAGACTGTCACGTCCCTGCGAGGATGGTACAGGCTCATGCTTGACACCAAGGACACAGAATGCATTGATGAGTGATGATGCCCGACACACGTCTCCATAGCTGACCTTTGGGCTGTGGGCCTCAAGTTTCAGCTGCATGAGCTGTGCTAAGGTATGCTCCCGGATACTACTCAGTTCCGCTTGCTGCCGTCTCAGCTTTATTAGCAGCAGCGTAAGCTCCTCTGGCTGAAGGAGTACAATTTAAGAATCCAAACAGTGGAAAACAGATTAATTGTTGTCTTAAGTGACAGACATTAAACCAAGATTTCTTGGCAAGTTTCCTCTTACGGTTGGCATCATAGTGCCTAGGCACTATGATGATAGGTCCTACATAAATGCATAGACATCTAGAGAGACAGAAGGAATAGTGTTACTTTACAGCAAAACAACAGGGGATGCAGGCATTTTCTCAGAACTCACCAGAGTATTTCAATGTCAAGCATAAAAAGCACAAACCCAACCAACGAGCTTTGCACAGAAAACTGCTAACAACTGTTATGCTGCCCATGGAAGATGTTAGCAGGATGCTAACACCACACCTATGACACTTCCAGCAACAGAACAAGGCTGGCCCATCCCACACCATTTCAAAGAACAAGCGAATAAAAAGAATTGCATTTCAGAGATGTAAAACTTGGGTGTTATTTCTGAACTCTAAGATTCGGTGTGTGAGGTTAGTCACCTTGGGTCATGTCGCCAATAGAGCTTCTGCAGCATTCTTATGACTCAAATGCCAGTCCTGTTTTTATAGGGGGGAAAACAGGAAAGCAAATACTGCCATGAGTGTCCCCCAGCACCCTGCCTGTACACCCCCTCTGGAAACGGGAGACTCTGGTTCCCCCGCAGTTATTATGAATCCCGAGGAGGAAGGCTTTCAACAAACAGTGGGTGAACCCCTTGACATCCGCAGAGCCTGAGGTGTCCCACAGTGGCAGTAGGACAGCTGTATCCCTGGGCTTTGTTTAAAAACTACGGGGTGGGGAAGGGGCTCTTCCCCCACGTCCCAGGCAGGGTGTTGCTGAGCTCACGATGCCCGTGCTCAGGTCATTTGCTGCTGTGCCCCATTTTCTATACCATGAAGTTCTGTTGGAGACCCACAGCATGGTTTCAGTACTGTCCTCTGACAGGCACAGCATCACTAAAGCAAACCGCACCTTCCCACTGGCTCCGCAGAGGAAGGTGGACACATACGGAAGGAAAGCAACAGGCTTTTATAGTTACCAGTCGGCAGTGTTCAGGGCACGTGACTTCAGTAAGCGTGTGTGTGTGTGTGTGTGTGTGTGTGTGTGTGTGTGTGTGCGGGGGGGGGGATCTGTTTTTGCTCTGAAGTCAAAAGGGCACCTTATGACCCCAGGACTCTGGGAGAGGCTTTATTTCCTGATTGTCATGTCCTGTTCTTGAGGTCTTGAGGGTAGAGTCAGGGACTGTTAAATTCTTTCTTTCTGGTAGATTGGAATATTCTAAACTTCAAGTTGATTTCTGACAGAAAATCCAAACTAAACTAGTTTGTGTATGGACTAAAATAAATGCATTTTCAAAAGGACAGAAGACTATAATGCAGCTGCACAGTCACATTTTGAGGCATTATTGGTTGGAAAAGGGTAGGGGTGATGGTAAATAAACCTGACCCTGAACATCCACTAGAGGGAGACAGCTGGCAGGTACTCCGCGACCACCCCTGCTTCTGCCTGCCTGATCCACAATCTACTATTTAAGAGTGCTTGGGTTTTTTGTTTTATTGTTTTAGTTTTGCTTTCATTTTGTTTTGTTTCGAGACAGGATTTCTTTGTGTGGCTGTCCTGCAACTCAGAGATCTGCCCGCCTCTGTCTCCCAAGTGCTGGGATTAAAGGTATGCACCACCACACCAGAACTTAGTTCTTGGTTTTTAATAAAATATATTCACCAACTTTAGTAAACACACGGCAATCACTTTTAATCCAGGAACCATTTCCCCATGTCTAAATGTGTAAGGTGAAATAAGACATTTATTTGTAAAAAGAGATGGTTTGTTTTGATTACTATTGGAAGAGAACTTTAAATAATAATCATCATCAATCCTACGAGTGTTAAAAATCACATCCTCAAGCTAACAGGACTCTCCATTGACAACAGAGCAGCCCAGGAAAAGCATCCCGGCAGTGTTGGTGATGTATCTCAGCATTCCAGAGGTGGGTCAGGGAGACTGCTAGGTCAAGACCTTGCCTAAAAACAAAACAACAAAAAGCAAGCCAAAGCAAAGCAAAACCCACCTTTTTTTTTTTTAAATTTGAGGAACTGATATGAAAGATCCTCACTTTAAATAATAGAAAATATATTTGCTAAGGTTTTTTGTCTCATTTTCCCCTCCTGTATCCCAGGCTGGCCTCCAACTGTCAATCTTGCCTCAGCCTCTGGAATGCTGGGATTAAAGGCATGAGCCATCATCATGTATGGTCTTTCTTTGTGTAAATACATAAGACAATGTAGTTTTGGCTCTAAAGTAGCTGATTTATATTAAATTTCACAGAAAAGCCAAGTGAGGCAGGCCGTATGTTCACATAATCCCAACACCGAGGAGGTTGAGCAAGAGCAACGACTGAGGCCAGGCTGGCTGCTTGTTCCATCAAGACTTGGTCTCAGAATAAAACAAAAGCACAGGGAAAAGACTTCAGAAGGTCTCTTGTGTGGCCAGACAGATGCTCGCTGGACTGCTACTAATTACAACTCCAAAGTCTGCTGAGTATGTGTGTAAGGAGTGGACCTCAACCTTCCTAAGGCTTGTGGTGAACCTAAACCATAAATTATTTTCGTTGTTACTTCATAACTATAATTTTGCTACCGTTATGCATTATAATGTAAATATCTGATATGCAACCCCAAAGGGGTCGTGACCCACAAGTCGAGAACCACTGGTAAAGGGGTGGCTGGTCTTGAATCCAGGTCTAGTATATCTTGTGCAAGTGTTCACCACTGAGCTACTTGGACTTTTAAGAAACAAAACAAAACAACAACAACAAAAAAAAAAACCCAATAAGTAGTCTTGTATGCTAGGTAGTCATGGCTCGCCTTAGCTTACAGCCATTCTTCTCTGCACCACCATGCCTGCCTGGCTTTTATTTTGAAGATAAAGGGGACAATAAATCAAAAACCCAGATTAAATAGTAAACTTTGAACTTTCTCCTTTATTTGGGCATTCAGGGGAAGGCAGCAAAAAAGATGTTGACATGTCTAAATGAGTCTACATTCTTCGCTGTACAATCTGTATCACAAAAGTAGTGCTGTTTCCTTCTGCAGGTGACGTCTGAGAATTCACACTTAGAAGCCATGTCAGCTTCACGCCTTTCTGGGCAGCAAATAAAGTAGGCAAATGATAAGTAAACTTATTACACTCACCGTTCTGCCCTGGAGGCTCTGAGGACTAACAGCCGGTAAGGCTAGGCCAGCTGGCATTGACCTTCTGTCAGGTACATAGGCATGCTAGGAAACAAAGACAACATATAACTTTCTTCTTTTGGGGGGGAGGGGTTCAATGTTATTGATGATCTTAAATTTAATTATAAAATATCAATTAAAATTGTCATACCAACATTCCTTACTTGACTAAATACAGATGCAAATAAAAAGAGCAATTCTATGAAGACTGTCTCCGCAGCACTCTAACTCCCGTTCTCAGGACTCTGTGTGTATGTGTGTGCGCGTGCATGTGTGTGTGCGGCTGCTGTTGTTTTTTCTCACACTTGATCTCCTAATCTACTAGTTTCTACTCCCTGAGTGCTATCCATTTGGGCATGAACTATGCCTGGGCCCATAGATACATATTTTATATTTATTATTATTGTTACGGTGTATGTGTTTGCTGTCTGGGTCATGCATACATGAGGTCAGAGGACGGCTCTCTGGCACTGGCTCTGTCCTTTCATAGCAAGCATCTTTACCTGCTCAACCATCTCGCTGGCCCTGCTTCACACTCTTTGGAGAAGACCTAATGACAGGAGCAGCGCAGCTGGACAGCTTTGCAAACTTTACTGTTTGGCTGGTTTCTCATACCTGCCTTTATATCACTCTTGTCCCTATGGCTTCTGCACCATTAATACAAACAATACTTTGAGAAATAATTGATTCTATATATTCAAAATTAAAAATTTTGGCTGGGCAGTGGTAGTGCACGCCTTTTCATCCTGGCACTCAGGAGGCAGAGACACGTGGATCTTTATGAATTTAAGGCCACCCTGGTCTACAGAGCAAGTTCAAGGACAGCCAGGGCTACACAGAGATTTATTTATTATGTACACAGTGTTCTGCCTGCATGTATGCCTTCATGTCAGAAGAGGGCACCAGATCTCATTAAAGATAGTTGTGAGGTACCATGAGCTTGCTGGGAATAGAACTCAGGACCTCTGGAAAAGCAACCAGAGCACTTAACCTCTGAGTTACCTTTCTAGCGCACAAATGAACATTTGGATTCCACGTGCATTTACGAGGCTGGAATACAGCCTGATGCAGAGCACTTTCCCACAAAGTACACAAACCAGGACCTTTAACAGCTTCTTTCTAAGATTTATATTAGGTGTGTGTGTGTGTGTGTGTGTGTGTGTGTGTGTGTGTCTGCTTGTGCGTGTAGTACCCACAGAGGCCAGAACCATAGTTCAAGTTATTAAAAAGCTGATGCAGGAGCATCTGGAGTGTGAGCCCAGCTCGGGCAACACATTAGAGAAACATGTAAAGCTTAGGTTCTACACATGGGATTTTGACAGAATTTTAATTTTTTAAAGACAAAAACAGCCTTGTTAACTTCCCTTCTCTTTCCTCAAACTTAATTTCAAACAGTGTATTAGAAAGAAAATACAACATCCTTAAGCATAGAGTTAACATAAAATTAGTCTTTTACCTTAGGGTGATGTGCCCGGTGCCTCCGGTCTACCGTGACATCTCCTCTCTGGATGGGTGAGGACACTTCTGACCTGTATGTTCGTGGCGGGGAGAATCCCGGGTAAGCAGCTCCGGACGCATGGGAAGGTGATGTGGGGATGGAGTGCATCGTCTGGTCAGGAGGCTTCCCCATGGCCGTGGGGCTGCCCAGGCAGCTGTGCCGAGGGAGGGTGCTCTGCTTGTGGTAAAACTGGCGCTGCTGCCACTCATACAGCTGCCACATGGTGTCATCCCTCATAGACCGCCGCTTCTCTTCTGCTCCGGGCCCAGCCTTCTCATGGCCAGGAGGCACCACACCGCAGACGCTCTCAGGCCTGATCTTGTTGTTTCTTGGGAGTGTTCGGTAACCTTCAGGGTAGCGGGCCACAATCTGGGCTCGGTGGCTTGGCATATTTCTTGGCAATGTTTGATAAGAAATTACTCTAAAATTAAAAAAAAAAGTTGTAAAAATGAAAAAGACGCAGTAAACGGAGAGAGCAGTTTCTGCAGTTTTAAGCGCCACTACTTCCGGTTGACCTGGCAAGTAAGTACGTGCTGCCTTTTTTTTTTTTTTTTTTCTTAAAGAACAGGGGCTGGTGAGATGGCTCAGTGGTTAAGAGCACTGACTGACTGCTCCTCCAGAGGACCCGGGTTCAATTCCCAGCACCCACATGGCAGCTCGCAGCTGTCTGTAGCTCCAGTTCAAGAGAATCTAACATCGTTATACCAATGTGCATGAAATAAAGTTAAATAAAGTTTTAAAAAAAAAAAAGAACAGAGTTTAGGGGCAGCGCACTTGCTTGGCAGGTGCAAAGTCCTGGGTTTGAACCTTAGTACCCGACAAAGAGAAAGAAGAAACGGGAGGGAGAGAGGGAGGACCAGTTGGCCAAATGTTATATGAGGTATAAATTGCTCAAAAGCTAAAGTTTTTAAATGAAATTCCATCTGGTAATGTAGATTCATAAACAGAATCTATGGCAATCACGGGTGAAGATAAGTTCCACAAAGCGGATTTGTCTTGATGCAGAAGAAGTATTTCCCCCACTTCAGTTGGTAATGAGACAACCCAAGCCTTTAATCCCACAGCTTGAAGGGTAGAGAGATAGGAGAATCTCTGTGAGTTGTGGTCGACACAGTGAGACCCTGACTCTAAAAACAAAACAAAACCAAACACTCCCTGTCCCTCGCCCCCAAACTGTTCGTTCCCAAAACAAAACAAAACCCACCTCCCAAAATATAAATAAGTAAAATTTAAAAAGGGAATATTCAAGAACTAACCTCAAGTCTTCCCCTTTGTCTGCACAACTAGTTAGATAGTAGGACCCTGCCTTAAAACAAGCAAACAAAAAAAAAAAACAAAACAAAAAAACCCCAAACCAAACCAAAAAACCTACACCCAAAACAACCAAACAAAAAGAGTACGTAAGACTAAATTCCAAGTATTCATCTTAAGCTACCATTCTGTAGTGCATAGATTTATATCCTAAGACAAAGGATACGTGGGTTCCTGCCCACCGTCCAGCGGCAGGACTTTCCCTCAGAGCACAATGCAGCTGTTCCCAGCACACCATGCCTACTTCCGCTGCCTCCTCCCAGCGCTATAAACACTTGGAGATGCTGCAACCACATCGACAGGGGGTGAAAACTGAGGTGCAAGCTACTCAAATAAACTCTTAAGACGGCTTTATGTGTTTATTTTATTTTATACGTATGAGTGCGCTATATGTATATGCATGCATATGTGCACCATTTTTGAGACTGGTGAAGATGAAAGACAGGAGAGGGCATGGGATCCCCTGGAACTGCAGTTACAGATGGCTGTGAGCTACCAAGTGGGTCTGGGAAGAGAACCAGGTCCTGCGGAAGAGCAGCCAGTGCTCTTAATCGCTGAGCCACCTCTCCAGCCTCTACTTTACATTTAATAATCTGAATCCTTGGCTGATAAACTGGAAGCTAAAGACTTATTTTAAAATTTTTTAGTGTGTGTGTATATGTCATGTGTGTGCTGAGCCTATGGAGGCCATAAGAGTGTCAGATACCCTGGAGTTATAGGCAGTGATGGGTGCTGGGAACTGAACCAGGTCTTCCGGAAAAGCAGCGAGTAAGTTTTACTGTTGAGCCATCTCTCTGGCTCTTCCAGAGTTCTCTGATACAGACTGGTTACTGGCAGCAATGCATAGACACTACTCAGCATGTGTGATGGCGTATTTCTGCACTCTGGAGGGATATGATAGGTCTGAGGCAGCTCGGGGTGCATTTGGGTCGCAACGAGACCTTGTTTCAACAAGATCTAGTGCAAAGGATTGGGTACATACCGGGCTATGAGGCAAACTACACACTTAGTTTCTATTGGTGTGTAAAATTATATACTGTTATTCAGTGAGAAATTCTCATTAAGTAGACAGAATGTATCTTCTCTGTATGGCTGTGAACAATACTGCTGTGCGGAGGGAAAGGCAGAGTAGGGGCAGCTGGAGAGAAGGGGCACACTTGGGAGACAAAGGATCTCTGAGCTCAAGGCCAGTGCAGTGTATGGTAAATTCCAGGCCAGCCAGGTTATCACATCCATAGTTCTTTAATGTCTTACATTATAGAAAGAGTTTGTGAATGAAAACGCAGCCATTTCCTTTTCACGCTCGTTATACCAGCAATTTCCAAATATTTATACTTAAATGAGAAAAAGTCATCCCTCCTTTCAAAAAATCTGCTAAAGGCATGCATGTTATACATGAAAATATTCCAACTACTCATCTGCCGTAATGAATTAACTGAAACTATAGGCATCGGGGGCTGGAGAGACGGCTCGGCAGTTGAGTGCTTGCTGCTCTTCTGGCACCCACATTAGGAGAACAACCATCTGCCCTTCTGGCCTCTTGGGCACCCTGCCCAATACCCACAACCATGACACTCACACCCACAGATGAAAATTAAAAACAAAACTGAAGGTAAAGAAGGCAGAAGGCTTGGGAAGCACACAACCGCAGAGGGCTGGGCCCCTCGTGTGTTCCCACCACCCAGCAGCTCACCCAGCAGCTCCACGGACCCTCTACCGACAGAGACTGGATCATGAAGTTGTCTGGAACTCAAAGGTCACATTCCTCACTAATATTGAAAACATCTCTGATCCCTTCAGTTACCGCTCCTGAATAATATTTCCTTCATCATTTTAGTTCCTCTTCTCTATTTTCAACTGATGTGGGATTCACTCCCCTCTGTATGCTGTGAACACCACTGGCTAATAAAGAACTGTCTTGGGCCTGTACAGGGAATAGAGGTAGGCGGGGAAAACTAAACTGAATGGTGGGAGAAGGAAGGCATTATTATATCCTTCTGCAGTCTTTGATGGACTTGAAAAATTGATAGCTATAGTTATAGTTTTCCTTAGTTATGATAAACTATAAAATAGATATAAATATTGTAACTGTAATTCTTGTTTGATATCTGCTTTGTTATATGTAATTTTACTATGTCAAAGTTAAAGCCTTCCTTTTTATTTAAACAGAAAAGGGGAGGTGATGTGTGATTCCCCTCTGTGTGCTGCGAATACCATTGGTTAATAAAGAAACTGTCTTGGGCCTGCACAAGGAATAGAGGTAGGTGGGGAAAATTAAACTGAATGCTGGGAGAAAGAAGGCAGAATCAGAGAGAAGCCATGGAGCTGCCTCCAGAGACAAACATGCTGGAACCTTGTCAGTAGGCCACGAGACTCATGGTAAAATATAAAATAATGGAAATGGGTTAAATTAAGATGTAAAAGCTAGCCAATAAAAAGCTAGAGCTAATGGGCCAAGCAATGATTTAATTAATACAGTTTCTGTGTGGTTATTTTGGGGCTAAGCAGTGGCCTGTTACAACATTTAGAGGCTGCAAAACTCAAGAAAATGCCCTCACCCCCAACCCCTGCATTTTGACCAATCACTAGGCAGCTCTGGGAGCAGCGTGAGAGGAAAACAGTCCATGTGACCAGAACTGAGATCAGTTATTTGTGGTTCTTGCCCCTCGGTGTGCCTGGCCCCTTCCCCAACACAGCTCTATTCCTCCACTTCTGATAGCACGAAAGGAAGAAATTAGGGGAGAAAAGCTGGGAGCCCCACAGTCAAATATTCTGAAGTGCTACAGCCAGAGGAAGCTGATCCCACCCAAGACACTAACCCTAAAGCAACTTACCCAACCCAGCTTGCTTCAGAAATTTCACACAGTTAAGTAAGGAATGTAAGACACACTACAGAAGCATTAACTGCAACTTAACACAGAATGCCAACATGGAAGGGACAGGCATTGCCAGTTTAAAACACACCATGAGGACCTAGGCACTAACAGCACAGATTACAGTCTTGCTGAAGCATCACTGTCATGTGAGCTGCTGTCTTTACGCTAAGTGTCCTCGTGTTGTTGACTGCAGTGTTTCCCGTCGCCTTGGTTAAGGGCCACAAAGTTTAAAATGGTCTTCTGCCATCTTTGAAACTTTAGGGGACCCTTAGCAGAAAAACAAGTTATTAACAAGCAAATTCACTTTTGTCTCACATGCTGTCCAGCATTAGGAGACCTGATTTTCACAAGTACGATTTACTTCAGGATTTTGTTTCAAAGAAATTCAAATTAGGCTAAGTGTGATTTACTCTGAAGTAAAAGCTTAAGAAGCATGCTCTGTGAGCCCATTCAGCAGCAGCTGCCTGTGATCCGCCCTGGGGGACAATGACCAGCTCTGCTTCTAACAAAGACTCTGCAGCTCTGTTCAGAGGCAGCTTGGGGAAGGCAGCGGGAGCTGGGGAAAGGGGGGGCAGGGACCCACCATCCAACTAAACATTAAACCTCCCCTGCTTCCTACCAGGGTCTTAGCAATTAAAGAAAGCCTTTCATAATGGAAAAAATTCTTTCATGAATTACGATATTTCCTTTCACCAGTAAAAGTTTGGAAGTGTTTTTTTGGGGACGAGGTGTATTTAGGAACACAGATAAGATGCAAAGCGGCCTGGAGTCTCTGAAAAGAATGCCACACCATAAACATTCAGGGGAGCCTAAAGAGAAGGACGCAAAGAAAGCCCTTGTCAGCCTCAGAGGGGGCAGACTCCACAGAAAAGGCTAGAATATCCTTTCTGGGCCCGGCTAACATTCACCAAGACTTCACAGATGAAAACATAGACTCCAGGAACCCGCTACCTCTCTACACTTTTAAACTCAAGGAAGGAATACTTTATTTGAGGGAAAGATTTTTCTTTGAAGTGAGATTTAAGTTGAGAGGAAGCGACTTGGCAAAGTTCCCGTCTAAATTATTTCCTGAATGTGATCTGGAGTGCCTCCCAACACTCTGACCCTCAGAACTACTTCCTGCTTTTCGGTCTAATCAAATTTTATTTATTTGTTTTCCTACGGACAATGTATGATTTGATTTGTCTTTGTAATCTCATCCAATAGTTAAATTCTACCTTCTTATCCATGCATTAAGTAATTTGCTTACATATGACTGTGGTCAATATGGAAGTGAAACAATTATCTCATTGTTTCTTTAATGTGTAAGTTCCCTGGTAACTGGTTAAATCTGAATATTTAGTCTTAGTTTTTTTAAAAAAAGAATGGGCAACAGTGTACAAACATACATTAAAACACACACATACCATGGAAATGCTAAATCAAACTGAGTGTGTGCATGACTGCATGTAACTTACAATTCTGACACTGTCATGGAGGGCAGGGGCAGGGTGCAACCTTGAATCTTAGCAATGGAGAAGCAGAAGCAGTGCGTATCTTATAAAGTCCAGGCCAGGCTAGTCAGAGGTGTACATAGCAACATTCTGTCTCAAAAAATGAACAAAGAAATCTGTCTTGTCAATTTTCAGGTATATACCTCATTGTTACGACTCAGCCATTATGTCACAGAGTAGACTCTACAGCTTACAGAGTGAAAGTCACTATCATTCACTACTCTCTCCTGTGAAAACCCTAAAATGAGTGCTGAGAACCGACAAGACAGGGGTGAGCAACACCTCACAGGGGGTGTGTGTTTGCAGCCTTGGGAGAGCTGACAAGCCTAGTCTACCCAGGCTTTAGTCTACACAGCCACTGTGACTGAGCAGAACTAGAAAGTACTCCCACACCTCACAGGTTTCAGCGGTAAACCAAAATATCATCCGAGTCATGCTCTCTGTTTTCTATGACTCAGAAGTCACAATAACTTTACATCACAGAGCAATCCCCATGAAAATCACTGAACACATACAGTACAAACCATATCATCAACATAAAGCATGTAAGGTAATGTGGAAAGCCCATTTAAAATAAAACATACTTTCTCTAACAAGTTATGTTTTGAGAAAAAAGTTACAGTCAGGCTATAATGGCACATGACTTAAATCCCAGCATTCTGGGGAGGAAGCAGGAGGATTTCTGTGGGTTCCAGGTCAGCTTGGTCTAACAGAGTGAGTTACAGGCTAGCTAGAGACCCTATCTCAAAAAACAAAACAAAACAAAACAAAAAAAACACCCAAAAACCAAAAACCACCACCACCAAAAAAAAAAAAAAAAAAAAAAAAAAAAAAAAAAAAAAAAAAAAAAAAGAAAGAAAGAAAAAGAAAAAGACTTGGGGCCAGATCTCTCTTCTCTCACTTCACACAAGAGCGTTCTCCAAACCATTAGGTTACAATCAAGTGACTAGAGATATTTCTTCCCTTCCCTTTTTTGTAGTGCCAGGAATTGAACCTACGGCAAGTGAGGCACATTGATCCACAACTTTGGTACCAGAGAGAGCTCTTGGCTTTGTTTAGTGACACAGTTTCATTGTGCGGCTCTGGCTGGCCTTGAATTCTTGATTCCCCCCCACACCTCTATTCTTAAACACTGGAATTGCAGGCGTGTGCTACCACACCTGGGTCCCAGGTTTCTAGTGTAAGGAGATCTTTCAGACCCCGAGAATATAGAAGCTGCTAACTGAAGACTAAAGATTAGGGCTGGAGACAAATTCCCATTGGTTCACCACAGTTCAGAATTCTAGGAGGAGAGGATTAATAGGGTGAAGGTAGAAGGATAGGGGCCCTCTTTACCTCCCTCATCTCTCCCCTCAACTTCAGCCTGTCTTTTGTCCTGGGTCAGAAAGGATGGCTCCTCCGCAAAGCAAGACTATCCACAGAAACATGAGCCAGAAAGTACTCACATTTGACCCAGTAATGACAGTGGGAAGTTGAAAACATATTTCAAACCAGTCCTGTAACTGAAGCCAACCTGCCCCACCACAGCAAAGAAACTGGGCTGTCACGCTAAGGTACTCACCCTCGGGGCTCCTCTTCAAGACTCCGTCCTTTCTGGACTTTAATCCACTGCTCCAGCTGCTGCATTGAGTTCGTTCTCTGAAGGACTCGATCAGCTTCTGTGGCCAGGGGTCCTGCATTTGGGTGACTCCCACCCCGGACATCTGCCAAGCCGACATTCACTGCTTTGCCATCTGAACTATTCACATTGATGGGTCTATAGTGCACGTTCTGAGGTGGGCAGGCCTGCCCACTGTCATATTCTGAGGGCAGAGAGTTCAACTTCACACTGTTAATTTTTGTTAGTGGTCTCTCTTGGCCATCCTTCTGAAATCCGTATTTCTCAGCTTCTAAGGCCCTTTTTTCCTCAATTTTGCTGATTTCCTTATTTTTCTGGTTGTTCTGGGCCTCTGGTTTAATGAGAACTCTGTGGTTGGGGATGTTATTGGTTTCTTTAGTTGATGCACTTTCAGTTGTAATCTTGTCCACTCTGAAAGCAGAGGAGAAAGGGGAGTAAATAGACGGAACAGGTGTATGTTACACCTTGGACTCAGCCCGGGAAAACTTAACCTTCATGAGAACAAGCAAAGGAACTAACAGACTCAAGCATGAACTGACACAGAATCTCAGAGTTGTGGCATTATCATGCAGGGGTAACTCCTTGAATGCAAGAAAAAATCGTCAGCAAAAGCTACTGAGACAAGCGCCATGTGCCTCTGCCTGCCAACATCCGGAAACACAGCAAATGCTATTTCTCACCATTAACCGAAGTCAGTCAATTGAAATAAGAAATGGCTCTCAGTCACACAGGCCAGCTCATCATGAGACAACCACGAGCCTGCCTGTGGAAGCTGTGGAAGCCGCTGCAACAGGAAATCCTAGTCTGATGCCACCAAACAGCTGGACTGGATGGCTAACTCGTGTTTGTATACAAGAGGGCCCGTGTGAGGCTTTATTTTCTGCAGAGAAGTCACTGAGTAGCCCAGGTTGGCCTCAAGTGCCATGGCTGCTGGCATTGCAGGTGTCAAACACCAAACCCAGACAGCAAGGGTTAGGAGCTATCAGTCAAGCTGCTGATGCTCAGCATCTTTTTCTTAAATAAATAACAGGATCTCATTGTATCTGCCTGGCTGGGTAGAGCTCCCAGCCTGCTGCTGCCTGGGATTAAGGTGTGTACCAACTTGCCCAGCTTCTGTGAGTATCTTTACTTCTTACTAGCTGCTTCTTTGGGCAGGGTACAGCAGCTTACACTGCCTCTGTTTCCTCCTTGGTAAACTGAGACTTTCAGCAATGCCAGAGGACTGTTAGGAGATCCCAACAACAGCCAGCAGGGCCCTTACTGCCTTTGCTTTCTAGCTCTTCGAGTAGTCCTGTGGAATCCATGTGCCCAAGAAGAAAATGTTTTGTCAATTGTGTGTCTGGGCCACCTGAGTTTACTACTCAGTTGCCACCAGCTCCTTCTGATGAGAAATTGTCTTCCTGAGTCAATCATATCTAGGCTTTTATAAAATCAAACTAATTCTGTGAACCCATAGGAAGCTGCCAAGATCACTTCATTCAGCAAGAACTCACAGAACTGGCCTGTCTCCTGCATTTCAGCACAGCGCGGTGCCACTGTGAGATCCCAATGGCGGTCCTGTTGCTAACTTCCGTGATGTGTGGAAAACACATATTCACACGTATGTACCTACGTTCAACTCTTAGTGAAGAAACATAGATTGTACAGACACTCTGGCAAGGGGCTCTACCGAGAGTGAAATCACACACTGCACAAGTCACACACGAACCACTGCTTCCAAGTCAGACCTAGCAGCAGTTACGGGGCAGTCTACAAAGACAGGCTGTGGGGCTTCTTCCCTTCACAGAGGAAACCACTAAGGAATTGACAGCGAGCACTTACTGATGTCTGCAGGGAAAAGTTGATTAACAATGAACGCTGAGTATCTTAAAAAATGTAAAGCTAAGTCCAGTCAACTGCAGCTACTGTTCTAGGCTAGAATTATAGTATTTAACCCAAAGGTTTATCATGGGAGAAAAGTATGCCTGTATGATGTTTCCTTAAATGGAACAAAACTGATTAGAAAACTCTGAGAACATAAACCAGGAGAAATGTGCCTCACTTGAGAATGTGGTACTTAGGCCACAAAAGCAAAGACATGGGAAAGCTCTCTGGCCATTAAGACAAAGAGGTTCTTCCAAACCAAGAAACAGAGCTGCTACCTCAAGACAGGTGTGGAAATACACACCTCAACCCTAGTCATTCTTCTCTACACTGAGTTTGAGGCCAGCCTGGGCTACATGAGACAGGGATTCAAAACATTAAAACTAAGGAAAAAAGAAAGGAAGAAAAAGAGAAAGGAAGAGAGAAACGCATTATGACCCAGCCATCCTGCCCCTGGGAACCCATGCAGTCAGTGTGGTGAGGAGATCCCTGCACTTACATGCTTACTGGAGCACAGCAATCCTCACAAAAACCAAGGAATCTAATGTAGACATCAATGGATGAATACAGAATTTCTAACACACACACACACACACACACACACACACACACACACACACTGTGGCCATATGAATATCCCAGAGTTCATTATGTTAGTGAAATGCACCTGATCCAGAAAGATATATATCATATCCTCACCTATACATGCAGAATCTAGAAATACTGACCTTAAAAAAAAAAAAAAGGACAGAAAAGTAGTTCCACAGCCAGGGAGGGGTGGGCAGAGAGAGGATTAGATAGTAGGTACAGCAGAATAGGGGGAGACATTTCTATATCTTAGCAGCATTGTAAGGCAACTATGGTTGATGATTTTTCAAAATAACTAGCATGGATTTTTAAGGCCCTAGTAAAAGGAAATGATCAAAGTCTGAGATGACATCTATGCTAATTACCCCAGTCTGATGCTGCAGTGTATACATGTGAAATGTCCCATGTATAGTTACTATACTATAGCAACATGTGTAATTACTGTATGTCGACTGACAATAAAAATACAGGGTTGGAGGTATAGTTTAGTGACAGAGATGGTGTGCTTGTCTGACATGAGAGAGGCCACGGGCTGGATGCCTAGCATACACACACAAAGTAAAAACACCGAGGGGGCAGAAGGAGATGGCTCAGTGGTTAAGAGCACTTGTGGCTCTTGCCAAGGAACCAGATTCAACGCCCAGCACCAACATGGAAGCTCACAACTGCCTGATTCTGGTTCCAGGGGTCTGATGCCCTCTTGTAGACTCTGTGGGCACCAGGCACATTTGGAGTGGTCTCGGAAGTTGGTGTCACGAGTGCGCATGGCCCACTGGACCCCATCTGTTCTGTATGTGTTTGTCTTTTCTTCATTTCCTAGTCACCCAGTCAGGTTTTTAAACCCAAGCCTTGCAGGGCTCGGTAGTGGATGCTTGGGGCTGGGGATGCAGCTTAGTGGTTGAGTACTTACCTAACATACAAGGACTGAGGTTTGGTGTCCAGCACCACAACTCTGCCTCCCCCACCGGGTTGTTTTATCTCTTAGGTGATATGCTCTGGTTAACTGTTTTAAGTATTGGAGTCACAAAGCAAAGAAACCCTATTACTTTTGCTTCAAGCAAACAAAACATCTCACTGGATTTATGAAATTAAGCATAAAAATAAGATGTTTTCAATCTTGAATGTCTAAACATAATGGAGCCAACAGCTCAGAGTAGAAGAGGGTGTGTTACACTGTGGTGTGACAGTGACTGACACCTCCCGGCTGGGCTCTGAGGAGGTGTCCAGTAACTGCTGGCTAAGGGACAAACTACAGTAACAAAACCGCCTGCAAACTGTTATGGGGTCACAAACAAATGACTCACTCATATCTTCTCATTGCCTTTGGAGCCAGGAGAGGGCAGTAGATCCCTGAAACTGGAGTCACGGATGACTGTGAGCCTCCCTCTGTGTGACTACTGGAAATCAAGCCTGAGTTCCCCAAAACAACAGCTAGCATTGCTCTTAATAAGCCATCTCTCACACCTCACATGTTATTTTTATATGTGGTTTTAATTAATTTATTACATTTTTAAGAAAAATATCTCATTGTATAACCTAGGGCTGGTCTGCAACTCATGATTTTCCGGCTTCTATTTCCTCGGTGCTAGGATTAGAGGGGTGCACCACCACACTTGGCTTCCTCCTAGGTGCTGGGATTACAGGGGTGCACCACCACGCTCGGCTCCC